CTGACATAGAACCCGTCGTATACTCGGCCTCAATTCCTTAATTCTAATCTTGTCAAGAAAAGAGTTGTAGCTAACGGGGACGTCGCCGACTGCACAACGTTGTCGCTGTCAGTACGGAACACGCGGTCGACAGGCATGTCAAGCTAGCGTTAATTTGCAATGTTCTAAGACCCAGGCAGTGAGACGACCTTTGATGTTAAACTCATCACAACGCTGATCACATCTCTACATGTCAATGTCTGTGTACTAAGTGTCGCTTCAACGCTGTAAGGAGCAGACATAGACGCCATGGAGATTCTTTGCATTGTCTTTGATCTTTCTGGTGAATTACACCTAAATCGCTCAAGGCCAGAAGATGAAATGGAAGAAGACTTGGACAGAGATGTAACTAACGCGATTTATCTGATTACAGACATCGAACCGCAATACAGTGTTAATTTGCACAGATCCATATTTCAAGACGAATAAGATAGTAACACTTGTTATCATGGATCCCTGCTTGTAGAAAGGCATATATAAATAATTTGATTCTTTGAGAGAGCAGAACATCGGCAATCAAGTAAAGCAAAAAGCACACAAAGGAATCATCAACAAATCAAAGTTGGCATTCTAATACCACCCGTCCTGTTCCTATTTTTACTGCAGCTGATGATGTTGTTGCGGTTGCTGCTGTTGCAGTATCCTGAGTTATCGCGCACACATTACAGTTGGGGCTACGACTGCGTCCTGCCATTCTGTGTCCAGGGTTTCGCCCCTTTGCAGGACAGGAACCTATGATCATGGATTCGAATCCCTCTAGTATCTTTGGACCCGTGAAGGTCCGGGTTAGAATATTGATCTTCAGTAACCGGTGCTTGTCGTCAGAGGCGACTAACGGGATCGGGTGGTCAGGCTCGCTGACTTGGTTGACACATGTCATCGGTTCCCAATTGTGCAGATCGATGCTCATGCTGCTGATCACTGGATTGTCTGGTCCAGACCCGATTATTACAGACCGCCGCCATCTATCTGGAATATTGCTGAGTGCGGCGTAAAACTAAACTCACTCACTCACTCTAGTATCTTTGTATGCTTTTCGGCTTCATGCCTGTGATCTCGGGTTTCACCAAACTGACGAGCATCACAGACCGGTCTTGTATTACTTCGGGGTTTCCTCCCACATTAACTTGAATACTGCTCGAAGCTCCCCGACTTCACTCATTCAGTCACTAATTCTCCTGCCTCTTCTGCTGGTGCTGTTCGTGTTACTACTTTTGGTTTTGTTGTTGCTACACATGTTGTTGAGGCCGCTAGCTGTACTGTTACTATGTCCACTGGAGCCAATACTGCTTTTCATGTTACTTCTTTTGGTTTTGCTGTTGCTACTAATGTCGATGTTGAGGCCGCTGGCTCTACTGTTACTATGTCAACTGGAGCCAATACTGTTACTTTTGGTTTTATGTCTACTAACTGGAGCTGTTACAATACTGCTTTTCATGTTACTTCTTTTGGTTTTGCTGTTGCTACTAATGTCGTTGTTGAGGCCGCTAGCTCTACTGTTACTATGTCCACTGGAGCCAATACTGCTTTTCGTGTTACTTCTTTTGGTTTTGCTGTTGCTACTAATGTCGATGTTGAGGCCGCTGGCTCTTTGCTGTGCTACTAATGTCTTTCTTGAGGCCCACTGGAGCCAATACTGCTTTTCATGTTACTTCTTTTGGTACTTTGCTGTTGCTACTAATGTCGATGTTGAGGCCGCTAGCTCTACTGTTACTATGTCCACTGGAGCCAATACTGCTTTTCGTGTTACTTCTTTTGGTTTTGCTGTTGCTACTAATGTCGATGTTGAGGCCGCTGGCTCTACTGTTACTATGTCCACTGGAGCCAATACTGCTTTTCGTGTTACTTCTTTTGGTTTTGCTGTTGCTACTAATGTCGTTGTTGAGGCCGCTAGCTGTACTGTTACTATGTCCACTGGAGCCAATACTGCTTTTCGTGTTACTTCTTTTGGTTTTGCTGTTGCTACTAATGTCTTTGTTGAGGCCGCTAGCTGTACTGTTACTATGTCCACTGGAGCCAATACTGCTTTTCGTGTTACTTCTTTGGTTTTGCTGTTGCTACTAATGTCTTTCTTGAGGCCGCCAGCTGTACTGTTACTATGTCCACTGGAGCCAATATTTGTTACTGCAAGTAACACGTCTTACTGTGTTTACTACAGGTGTTAATGGATTGTGTCACCCCAAGGACGTGGATAGTTGCTCATTACATTACTCTCTTGATTTTTCACTGTTGCTGTAGCTAGACGTGTGCTTGATGCGTGAGTTCATATTTAGGCCGCTTTTAGCAATATTCCAGTATTATCACAGCGGGGAACACAAGAAATGGGCTTCAGATATTGTACCCATGTGTGGAATCGAACGCGGGTCTTCAGCGTGACGAGCGGACGATGTAATTATTAAGCTACCCCACTGCCTCCTTAGAATATAAGAGGGCGATAAAGAAAGGAAACCTTTCACGTCGGGTGACGACAGAAATGGGCTTCACAAATTGTACCCATGTGTGGAATCGAACCCGGGTCTTCAGCGTGGCGAGCGAGCGCTTTAACCACAAGGCTAACAAAGCGCCCTGGGCTTGATGCGACGTGAAACGAATAACAGACTATTACCACAACTGGTGCTATAAGTACTACATAATCCCCATGACAAGCGTCCACTGCGTATATGACACATCTTGATACAAACAAAATGCTTTTCAACGTGGCATTAAAAATAATTTACCCTCATAATAATCAATGCGTGTGCTACTAATCCACCCCTTCTACTGCTACTCCTACAACTCATGCGACTACAACTGCTACTACCATTACTCTAGCAGCGACGGCTGCTTCCACTGTTGCTGCCATTACTGCTCCTACTACTGCTAGTATTAGTACTACAACCTCTACTACAACTTCTACTACTACAACTACTACCACTACTACTCTACATCTACTACTGTTATTACTAGTACTACAACCTCTACTGCAACTACTACAACTTCTACTACAACTACTACTACTGCTACAACGGCAACTACTACTACAATACTACTACTACTACTACAATTACTACTACTACAATACTACTACTACTACTACCACTACTACTACTACTACTACAACTGCTACAACCTCTACTACAACCTCTACTACAACTACTACAACTTCTACTGCAAATACTGCTACAACGACAACAACTACTACTACTACTATCACTACAACTACTACTGCTACAACGACAACTACTAGTACAATACTACCACTACTACTACTACTACAATACTACTACTACTACAACTACTACAACCTCTACTACAACTACTACAACCTCTACTACAACTACTACAACTTCTACTGCAAATACTGCTACAACGACAACGACAACAACTACTATTACTACTACTACTACTACTACTACTACTACTACTACAATACTACTACTACTACCACTACAACTCTACAACAACTATTATTATTATTACTACTACTACAATTCTATAACTACACCATCACCACCATCCCTGTAACGCTGCTACGTTTACAACACCAACTCCGCCATCCCAGTGACATCTCCATCACAACCGCGCCCTGGGAAACCACGCCTTTTACCTCCAATTAGTCCATTCAATCTAAACCAACAGCACATTCCACATCTCATTCACAACAATAACAATAAATAACTTAAGAAAAATCGATTTTTCGAAATACAACTTCCCCTCTCTGACCTCATTACGTTGCCTGCGTCGAAGTGGCTCAGAAATTTCATTACTAGAGTTATCTTAAGAAGAACGTACTTGTGAAGAAATAATATTAACTCAAATATCAACTGAATAGTTTCCGGGGTAATGTATTCTGGCGATTATTGATATTCGGAATGATCTCTTTCGTATTAGACAGCCTCCGACTTGGGTCAAACCATGGGGCGTAGAGTTCCCCTGGAGTAAATAGAACGGTTGCCATGGATTTCTAGGTTCAAATTTAAGAAATAGCTAAAATCTAAGTTGAACGAACATTCCTTCCAGCGGTTTGCCCACTTTATTGCCTCCAGTGACGTCATTGCTTAAGTGTGAGAGTAATGAAGGAAATGGGCCCCTAATGTCTTCACACATGCCTAAGTGAAGGGAACACGATTTGGTAGGACTGAGTAACAAGTAGTCTATCTGAAAAGGCGTTTCAATTAGGCGTGTTACTCACAAACGATTGAGCATCATCTTGAAGCAGATGGTTGTGGCTTAGTTTATATACATTGTTGAGACAGTATTGCAAGCAACTTTAACTAGGAGCTGAAATAATGATATTGTCAAGCGTCCAGTGTTTGGACGTTAACAGGGATGCTGTCATTGTGACTTAACCTGTGTGGTCAGAGTTGTGACGAAGTGTCATTACTGATTTTCAGTGATCCATGTATTTAGTTTGCACCACCTTTTTAACTGTCAAAGAAATCCGTTTTGATGGGTAACCGATACTGGCTATTCTCGTTTCATTGACGTTTTATAACTGACGTAAGCGATGTGACCTGGATATGTGAAGAGGTGGCTTAGAAAGTAGATGAAATGACCTATTTAGTGAAATATATTACCTGTAACGTAAACAGCGTTCACCTGTATGGGGAGTGAGTGAGGATAGTTTTACGCCGCTTTTAGCAATATTCCAGCAATATCACTGCGGGGGACACGAGAAATAGGCTTCACACATTGGTACTACTTCGGCGTGATTTACTCTCATTCTGCCTACATCCCACTCTAATAAAAGTGTAGGCAGAATGAGAGAAATCAGGCCAACCCTAATTTAGAAATGGACCTGCCCATGACAATAACATAACACAATCTTGATTGTATTAATATTTTATTTATAGTAGATATTATTTCCCTATTTCCCTGTCACTATCATCATTATTATAACTGTAAAGACATCATCATCATCATCATCATCGTCATCATCATCAATCTAAAATTTCAATTTCAAGAGATGACCAGAGGCATCTAAAAACTGAAGCTTTGTCCTTCGACCTTGATGAAGGACCTCCTTTAGCCTCTGCAAACGAGAATAAAGTTCGTGATACACTCGTTTTCTGCCATTCGGTTTACCACCATACTCCAGTTGAATTTTCTTCTTTCTTTCTGTTGATTCATAAACTCGAACAGGTTTGGGTGGGACTTGTCAAGGGACCTGTTCATTACAGAGCGCCAGCCCTCCAAGTGATTGTTAGTGCGTGAACCGGCGTTATCATATTGATTCCATATGGACTTGTGGAACAAGGCATTATCGTGCACCCAGGTATTCGTGACGTAGTCGCAGAGGTCGTGTATGAGGGGGATGTCGGGTCTTTCGTCAAGGGTTTCAACCCTGGCATCCTGAACCTGATCTCGAGGGAGGTGTGGCACACAGGCAGCTCTTCGGACTACTCTTTGGATCCTCCCTGTACTGTGTACCTATGGTTTGGATCTTGCGCAGGATACACTGACTGTAGTGAAAGAGACATTCTCGTAGATGAGAGCTGGTAAAGACAGTCTCGTGTGCTTGAATGGCAGGAAGTTCAAAGTCGGTCTGGATGGTAGATGGATCTAGATCGGCACCTGTTACAGAATTCTTAAGTTGCTGGAACAGCCTGATGTAGACTCTTTGTCTATTAGGCATTAGGGCAAACGCAACGGGGAACATGTTGGAACCAGAGAGACGGTGAACAGCATACAGCTGGTTCCAGAGGCTGTGACAGGAATAGAATGTACCATCCATGTATACGGTGTCGGCACTCTGCATAGTCTCCATCATGTCTTCTGTGCAGAACACCAGGATTATGTCGTCCGTCACTGGTCTCAGCCCACTGGTATTCTATGCACACATTAGCCAGGATCTTCGGGAGTGGAGGAAGATTATTTCGGCGGTGTCGCTAGAGACCAGCATCAATGCTAGCAAAGGAGGGTGTTGTGGCAGCTTCATCGACGGTAAAGGTTCTCATCTCACCTTCGAAGATCTCTTGAGAGAAACCAGTCTGTTCACTGTTTTTAATTGATAGGTAACAATAAGAAAACAGTAAGTAACAAAAACATAAGAATGTCCATATAACAAGGATGAATGAAGCAGTCCCTTTGTCAAAACAACTCAAACAAAAATCCGAAGACACACACATACACACACACACACAAACAAAAACAAGACACCAAAAACACAAAAAACTCAAGCTCTTCCATTTTTCTTGTGGGGAGGTAGGGTCAAGTATTATCTATCGCTTTCTCATTCTGCCTACACAGTTGTGACCAACAGACCATGACTTGTGTTGTATTTAGCTGTAGGCAGAATGAGATGTAGGCAGATTGAGAGGACACCTTCGGCGTGACGGGCAAACGCTTTTTAACCACTAGGCTATCCCACCGCTACTGACCTGTATGGACAGAGGAGACACCTGTGAAATAACCGATGGAAACAATGTTGTCAGAGGTAAGTCCTGGGAAATCATCGATGTAAATTATGTTGTCAGAGGTAAGACCTGTGAAATCACCGATGTAAATTATGTTGTCAGAGGTAAGAACTGTGAAATCACCGATGTAAAGTATGTTGCCAGAGGTAAGACCTAAGAAATAACCGATGTAAAGTATGTGGTCAGAGGTAAGACCTGTGAAATCACCGATGTTAACTATGTTGTTATCGGTGAGACCTGTGAAATAACCGATGTAAAGTATGTGATCGGAGGTAAGACCTGTGAAATAACCGATGTAAAGTATGTGGTCAGAGGTTAGACTTGAGAAATAACCGATGTAAACTATGTGGTCAGAGGTGAGACCTGTGAAATAACCGATGTAAAGTATGTGATCGGAGGTAAGACCTGTGAAATAACCGATGTAAAGTATGTGGTCAGAGGTAAGACCTGTGAAATAACCGATGTAAACTATGTGGTCAGAGGTGAGACCTGTGAAATAACCGATGTAAACTATGTGGTCAGAGGTTAGACCTGTGAAATAACCGACGTACGCTATGTAGTCAGAGGTAAGACCTGTGAAATCACCGATGTAAACTATGTTGTCAGAGGTAAGACCTGTGAAATCACCGATGTAAACTATGTTGTCAGTAAACTTAGTTGTCATCGGTGAGACCTATGAAGTCAGAGATTTGGTCTTTGTAGTCAGACATGTCATCTGTGAAGTCAGATACTGACCTCTAGTTGGACATGAAACCTGTGAAACAAACGACATAAACCATATTGTTAGAGAGAGACCTGTGAAGTCAGATATTTGGTCTCTGTAGTCAGATATGTCACCTGTGAAGTCAGGGACTGATTTGCATAATCATGGGGTGTGACCTGTTAAATAACCAATGTAAACCTAAACCATTTGAAACTTGACTTTTCTGGTCCAGTTTTGAGTATGGCTTTGCATCAGCCAAATTCTTCGGTACTCAAACAGCGACTTGGAGGCTGAAAACTTCAACCTCAAATGTTGCTGTACTCTCCGATAATGACGTGCATCGATTTTAACTCGATACATTCAAGCACAGGCTTTCAAGTTCTTTGTACACACTTCTTTGCCCGTGGGTACATGCCTTTGTCCACATTATGTGCGTCAGGTTTAATAGTTTGGCTTACTCTCTGATATTAACCAGTAGAGGGATGGAGTAAATCCAGCTGGGGGACAAGGCAGGTAGCTTAAGAACCGTCAATCACTGTGGTCCATACTGTGGTGGCAGAACGTCGGCTGTTGGACATTGGTAACCAATCTGTATTGTGATTGTTAAGACGAGTTATATATATATTTTTAAATTTTTTGATTCATTTTAGTACCAGATTTAAATTTTTATAAAACCGGATACTCTTGTTGATTTACTGTCCTTTGTCGTCAGGGTTTTTATAGTCCGGTGTATCTATAATATTCTTACAGTTACAATATCACTGAAATATTCCCGACGTGCAATTATCTCAGCGAAATTAAAATCATTTCAATGATGTTTGACAGACTATATAAACACATCCTGAGTTATCGCCCTTACATTACAATCTCACATAGGTGTTTCGCGATAATATAGTCATATCACTATATTCGAATTGATAAGGTGTTTGACATTCCTCAGCAGGGTATATTACATTTACCCTCATCTGTCAGAATGTACAAAGGATATTGCCCAGTTTGTAACCAATCAGAAACAAGTATTGCCAGTTTGTAACCAATCAAAAACAAGTATTACCAGTTTGTAACCAATCAAAAACAAGTACTGCCAGTTTGTAACCAATCAAAAACAAGTACTGCCAGTTTGTAACCAATCAAAAACAAGTACTGCCAGTTTGTAACCAATCAAAAACAAGTATTACCAGTTTGTAACCAATCAAAAACAAGTACTGCCAGTTTGTAACCAGTCAAAAACAAGTACTGCCAGTTTGTAACCAGTCAAAAACAAGTACTGCCAGTTTGTAACCAGTCAAAAACAAGTACCGGGTATTGCCAGTTTGAAACCAATCAGAAACAAGTATGGTAAAGTAGGATAAGTTTAATGCCACGTGTTCTGGTGGACCGGGACAAAACGACAGCATTGGTCACGAACAATTAATGGCCCGTACTATGCTCACGGTCATCATTCAATTATGAATCTTGAATAATTCATAAACCTCTTGCCACTATCTTCCAGAAATTGATGGTTTCGCATTTATAGTAACGTAGCCCAAGTCCTTCGTATAATTCCCTCGTTATAACGTAGCTTTACGCGCTATTGCGAAGAGGAGGAAGACAGTCAGCCTTACAGGTTACACAAAGCAAATGTTTTCCCATAGACTTCCCTAGTAACGTTATATTGTCTTTAAAAATTACAGCCATTAAATATATAAATGTTCACAGTATGGTCTTAAAGCCACAACAGATAGACATATGTTTAGCTAACCAGTTCCTTTTCCGAGTACAGGAAGTTGAACACACCATCCCGGCACCAAATGTCGTCTACTTGAAAATATCTTAGCACACATCTAAGTGATTGTGTTAAAACACACAGCACGAAATATCGAAAACCATGGTCAGTTTTAATTACTGGGTGGTTGTAAACAAAAATCTTACAAAAACCATCCAGTCACAGCTGTCGGGTGATTCCCTATGAAAAATGTGTCCACCCAAAATGCTCACATGCCAAAACACCTGCAGCTGATAACAACACAGCTCACAGTTGAATGCACACCTAAATCTCATCCTTTGTCATTTCAATGGAATAAACCAAAGAATATTTATATGCATTATATTTTACTTATCAGTCAGATGGTATTCCAAATAATCAAATTAGTTTGGAACTAATCATTCAGATAATATTCACAATAAGTCACTAGCAATGTAGGGGCGGTGGGTAGCCTAGTGGTTAAGGCGTCCGTTCGTATCGCTGAAGACCCGGGTTCGATTCCCCACATGGACACATTGTATGAAGCCCATTTCCGGTGCCCCCAGAATTGCTGGAATATTGCGTAAAACCCAACTTACTCACCACTCACTAGCACCGTTCTTTAAACTACGCAATGTGATTTAAAATAGTACATAACCTTTATGAGAACTTATATATATGCACTCTTCCTAGTTGACGTGCACTGACCAGCAATGGAGCTGATGGCGTACACTACAAAATGGACCACAGTCTGACTTAGTTATCTCGGCTTTCAAAATGTAAATGATGAGGACATCTTGTTGTGAATTATGTCTCTACCGATTCGGCATCAATAGATCACACATGACGTTTGTGGGTGAACTAGATAACACATGGAGACAGTGTTTGCAACCTCCTGCAGCTCCAAGTAAAAACCTGTGGGAACTGCTAATGGTCACAGTGTGCCTCAACAAGGAAAACGCTTGCGATTAACTGATTGACTGTCATAAAAGAGTCTAAATTACCAAGACTCGGATATGAGCGATATATCAATTCCACTACAGGTTGGGTTAGCTCCGGCCATGTTTGACAGTCAGTTCGGCGCCCGCATTGAACCAGAATTTGACAGCACATCTCAGCCTTAGCTTCAAATCCAATTTGAAATACATGCAGAGCTGAAACCCATAAATTCACAAATGACTCAGAAACTGACCCCAGTTCTCTGGAAGTCATATGAGTGTGATTGTACAATACAGGTGACGCCTACAGCGGAATCTTAATAGCACAACAATAGCTGGTGTGTAACGGAAGCTGGGTTTTAACATGGTTAGTGACAGAGGCCGTGGAGGCGTGCATAGCTCCAGCAGGGATCAACGAGCAATTCAGGAAAACGGTTACCACGTACAATAACTGTAACTGGTGTGAAAATGGGGTCTTGGAATGTTGGTCGGTCTCGGAGATTATTCGATGAGAACATTTGTATTGATTTTGACGTGGACGATACTACATTCTTCTTCTTCTTCTCGTCACGCCGAAGACCCGGGTTCGATTCCCCATATGGGTATAATTAGTGAAGCCCACTTCTGGTGTCCCCCGCCGTGATATTGCTGGAATATTGCTAAAAGCGGCGTTAAACCAAAGTCACTCACTACTACTACTACTACTACTACTACTACTACTACTACTACTACTACTACTACTACTACTACTACTACTACTACCCATAAACTCATAAACAGTGGTAGTAACATCAGAAGTGACCGCACCACCACCACCACCACCAACAACAACAACAACAACAAACACACACCACCACCAGCACCACCAACAACAACAACAACAACAGCTGTAGTTGCAGCAGCAGGCCTGGTGTGGACAGGAACAGTACAAATATTAGGATGCCGACGACTTTGATTTTTATAAGATTCCTTTGTATATTTTCTTACTGCAGATGCTCTGCTTTAACAAAGAATCACATTTTTTATCTATCCCTTTAAATGCAGGGATCCAAAATAACTCTCGTTCATTTTGAAATATCGACCGGTAAAAATTAACATTATCATGAGCTTCTAGTTGAAATGCAAAAACTGAACCATTCATTAACTCAGGAATGGAAGTGCGTAATGTTTACGTAGCTCGTTAGTTCTGCATGGCACTAAATGTCACTTTCACGGAGAATGCGGGGAAGGAAACATATGACGCGTGATCTAGGTTTCTCTGAAGGCGGCTTTTGTTCGGATGACGTCATATATATTAGTCTGTGACGTTTTGAATAATGGATAACGACATGTCGTAAATTTCTAAAATGAGACTGTGACGTCATGTGATTTCGACTGACCGTCAGCATTGATAATCGCTACATGTACCTGTGAAAATATCGGGAATTTATTACACAAGCTCAGTACCTTTCAACTATCAGTTGAACCATTTTGTGACCATTTGAAACGCTATGAACAAAGGATGACGGCATTTTTCTATGGAATTTCATAACAATAT